CACCTATTGTACACACTGCTTACATCAGGCTGTCACTCCAAACTAAGCAGCCATGCAAGGAGGGAATTTGTTAAGTAGACCACGTTTAGGTGGCTGAAATGGAAGAACATATCCATAGAGGAAAACCTGCTACAGACTTAAAACTGGGGAAAAAATAATCTTACAACAGTACAGTGATCCAAAGCACAAGGTCAAATTACTGTAGCTTAAGAATTAGAAAGGGTGTCCTTGGATAGCCCAGTTAAAGTCCTGACCTGAATCTTATTGTGAATCTGAAGAAATATGTGAAAACATATGCAAGATTCATATGTTTGGATGCATTCAACCAAATGCACCATTTTGTAATTTCACAAAATAGGAATGATCTGTATAGTTTTGCAAGCCACTGTATTTTAACATCTTATTATTAATTGCCGTTGGCACTCCACATACTGTATCACCAAAATTATCCCATTGTTTGTAATAGTAATCACACCCAGACAAAGGCTGTGATCAGTTCTTGCAGTGTCTTTTAACAGGGTTTCAGTGGCAGAATTCTCCTTCAGTCATACACCCATTTGCTTCTCTGTCGTGTAGATGACTGGAATGCATTCTGTGTTAATTTACTTGGCCTCGAAAAAAAAAGGCGTGGTAGAGAAGGCAGGGGTATTTTATTAAATAAAATACAAAGGCCTTGTAATTAGGAGGCTCTGAGTCATGACAGAATATTTGAATTCCCTATAGTCTACACTACTGACGCTAACCAGGCAACCATAATTTGTTTTCTGGGTCTTAGTTCCTCTCTGAATGACAACAGTTGCCCCTGTTGGGCCTTAAGGAGTAACGTTCGCTTGTTCACTGACAATTAATTTTCTAAGAACCTATCTGTTCTTCATCTCAGACTCTTTTTTCCATCTCTTCTCCATTGATTTGCTTTTTATCTTGACAGTTCAATAGCATCCAAAGCATGAGCATTTCAGTATTACATTATGTATTATGTATGTGATGTTACCTGTATATAGATGCATAAAGGATAAAAATCCAAACAATATACTGTATACTGTACTTTTTACAAATAATGTACTGAAATCCACATTGTATGTTGTTCCTCTCTTAGATGGTTTATTTTACTCCCTATTGTTTAATCAGCATTTTAGGATTATTTAATTATTGATGCTTGTTGATTTGAAATCTCAGAATCTAAACATTTTCTTTATCAAAACAAGACTGCTGAAACCATTTACTATCATAACAGTTACAAGACACTTTCAAAGTTACAGGGCCTAATATATTTGGGAGTGAATTTGTCTAGACTATATAGATGAACAGATTTATTTTTAAAATAAAAGAATCTTCACTGAATAAAAAAGAGGTCAGGACTTGGGAGGTTTGTAGTCTGTAGTGTCTGAAAAGTTTCCAAATTACAAGCAGACATGATGACTGTAATTTTCTTCAAAGCCACAGGTACACTATTTGCAGTTTTCTGTTAAGTACTGTGTGTTAGGTAACTTTGAAATAATTTGTCTATTCACTTTTTCAAGGAGAGTAAATACCTTATTATTGTGTTTTAATACATACATGGAAAATTACCTTGCAGCATTCTAAGCACATCTCCGAGATGTTCTCTTATGTAAAGTATTGATGTAAAGTTAAGTACTTTCTCTACATACAGTTCGTTTTTTTATTTCTATGTGCTGGTCAAGCCCAACAAATGTGCAAAGTGTGTATAACTGCAGGATTAACAGTATATACTCTAGTGACACAGTTAAGTAAATAACCTAGTATCATCAATTTAACACTTTGCAAGGATTCAACAAATATTTAATAACACTGTTGAGGGTACTACATACTGTAGTGTTGTAGAGCAAAGTGTTGTGTTGTAGACTATGTTAAATTTATGCTTGAGTCATTCTAATCTCAAACAATAACAGTTAAATTCAGCATTTGAAATATAAACAGTAAATACAGTCCATTTTGATGCATGGTCTTACATAATTCAGAACTTTGTGAGATAGCATTATGGGCTTTATCTGCACTTTCAGACATGCACAATTGCCTAGGTAGCTATAAGTGTCTAAGTGCTTATACAGTACATATACTTGTCCTTGCTTTTATAAAAGCCAATATACTGTAGTGGTTTGATGGTTTTACTGAGACAATTATTAATTGTAGCAGTAATCATGAGTTGATTCGTTGTGGCTTTTAGAAAATCAATCGTCAGAACAACTAACAATGCAAACACACGGGTTCAATACACGAGATACATTTATAAACATAAATTGTGCACCAAACATATACTAGTCTGCCTGGATACAAGCGGCAGACCTTACTGTGAGGGTTATCAATATACAAGTATATAATCTCGAAGAGATGCAAACACAAAGAGATACACAACAGAGAATATATGTCAATATATATCGTTCGGTTACACCAAATCGCTAATCAGTGTTATTACCCACTTTTACTCTAAACTCGGAAGTAAATACATTACTCATGAATTAAATTGATAACAACTTGTGTTGAGGTACAATTGAATTCTCGAGACGCAATGTAGAACATGGGGTTTACTTATCCACTGTGTATAGATTTGGAATTTCCCGGCATGAAAACCAAACCAGCTGACAGGCTCTGTTGCAGCCTCTGTTCCAGCGGTTGTCCAATGGGCATTGTCCCGGCGTCCTCTGGCTACCAGCCAACTAGTCGAGGTGCAGCTCGGAGTAGGACGGGCGGAGGAATCTAACTGCGGCGTGCGGGGCAGTCGTTGCTCCGAGGGGATCTACCAGCAGTCCGGCTGGCTAGTAGAAAGTCTCTATGCACAGAGTGTGACCGCAAGTCCTCACAAGTCACTCTTTTGCCCGGGAAGAAGCAGGTTCGTTCCCGGTCCAGCGCTGCTTCTGAATAAGCTATTCAGGTTGTCGACGAGGGTCCAACTGTAGGCTGCCGTTGATCAAGCGGAGCATTCACGTTGGTAAAATTCTGAGTACGTACGGGATCCTCGGCCTCGCGCTTAGAACAATGTCCAAGTCCCAGTGCAGACAACAGCAGTTGTCACGTGATTGTCTCTGAGGATGCGCGAAAATGGCCAAGGAGAGCCCCGACCGGAGCTGGCGCTCCCTTTTTGAGCAAGACACAGATGTGTGCTGATTGGTTGAGAGTTTGGCGGGCATTGGAGACCCACGTGGTGTTACCACGCCCTGCCAGTCCCTAATTGGTTGATCAAGGTGAGATATGAGTCACCTACTCCTGACACTTAGGAATGCAGTCCAGATGTCCATTGGGCACTCCCTAGACAGATTGGCACCATCTGTCCATTGATCATGATAGCCAGGCTTAGCTAAGTGCATCCCCGTTTGGGAGCTGTCCCTTATCAAAAGAAAACATCTTAAATCAGCCTGCATGAATACCTTCTCTGTGTCTGCACCACAGAGATGAAGAGTGAGATGGAGCCTCATTTAGGAAAGCACAGCAATGCTTAATTCTGTCTTATTAACAAGCATTGCCTCTACAATACACTGTGTGTCCTAAATCTTTACCTTTGATCATGGAGTGTGGAGAGTTTTTCTGAGATTAGTTGCAGTCTTTTGGATTGACCATGCTTCACTTCATCAAATTACTTCATAAGCTTACCTCTTAACCATGTGTTTTAAATGTCCCAGTGCAAATGCCAGGCTAAGTCTAAACACATTCCGCAGAGTGATGTATTGTACATGAAACCATTCACACAGAATTTACCAAATAACTCACCATTATTTTCTGGATTGGTACTAAAATTGAAGGGTATTGAGCCAAAATGAAAACCAGTGCAATAATAGCAATAACTCCACAAATATAGATTGCATGTTTAAAGGGTGACACCTTTTTTTTTGCTGGAAGGCTTAAACTAAACAGTCAGTTGTTTCAAAGTTCTGACTCTAGAAACTAAGAAACAGCTTTGCCATTCATTTTTTTCAAAGAACTCAAAGATTCAGTTTATTGATATTAATAAGCATTTCCTATAAGGGAAGATATTAAGCTAGTGGCTTAAATACATACATAGCCTTGGGACTCAAAATGTAAAGATTAAATTGATTTTTTTTCTGTGTCCTGAGGCTACAATAAGTACTGTATAAGCACACTGTAGTCTTTTATGTTTGTGCTCATATTTCATATTTTAATGAAAATATTCTTAATACCTTAAAAATGAACAAAAAACATGTGACCTTTGGACTAAAACACTTTGTTTTTTAAGACATGGTAAAACATATTAAGGAAGTTTTAAGAAAGTACTGATCATTCTTTCCATTATATGTTTTAACAAAAACAAAATGACTTATAACTTGGTCCTGTTCTAAAACTGAATAACTGGAAAAAACAATGAATTCTGTAATTGAAGTTTTATATCTGTCTTGGATATTTCAATACAAAATGTTCATGCTCATACCATCATTCAAATATATCTCATATTAATACTGGGTCACTGAGGCTGGACAGGCAAGAAGCTATGGGTTTACATACTGTACAGCTGTGACTCAGGTTGATGGCTGATGATTGAGTGTCTCTGCGTTTGCATGCTTATCAGTGATTATATGAGTCAGCCCTCTGCCTGGCCTTTTTCCTCAACATGGGATAGTGTGGACTTTGGCCATCTGAGCAAGGCCATCTCTTGTGTGATCCATGTGCATTGTCTTCCTCACTCAAAGTATACAGTATCTACTGTAGTGGCACTGTATTATAATGTACCAAAATGTGAATATGGAACAGAGTTTTGGACAGTAGGAAGATTTGTCAAGATAGAAAAACATGACTTTGTCTTTGTCCTGGCACCGATTTTCTATAGTGACAAACCTCATGGAAATTTCATTTATGTAAGGGAACTGAATATGTTCACCTACTCACCTAGTAGAAACTTACAGTAGTTTTACTTACTAGGTACCTGGAGATGTTTTTAGGTTCTGAAATTCTCTGTACTACTGTACTTACAGGTATTTTGTCTTACCAGTCATTTTTCTCTTTCCCTCTCCTCCATATCTCTTTTTCTACAGATTAAAGGCCGAAAAAGGTACGAAAAAGGATTCCATGCACTTGTGATTGGATGTGAGCCTATTTTGACCCCAGAAACCAAAAATGATGTTGCTATGGAAACTGCTGCTACTGCAATCATTCACAGGAAGCCTTGCAGGTAAAGTGTCTTATTAACAACTTTTGATGCAAGTATGCCAAAGCTTTCTTTGTGAGGTTTGTATCCTTATTCATATGTATTGAGGACAGGTTGAATGCAATAGTATGCAGAACAGAAGTAACCCAAATACAAAGCAAGGATGCACTCAAAGCACATAAAATGACTATTCTTTTTTGGGGAAAAAAAGAATAGCATGACACACTATTTTTTTCGTTTTTGTTTCATATGGTAGAGTTTGTATCTTAATATTTTGCCTTGAGTTTTCCAACAAGACTGTTTGCTGAAATAGGAAGTTTACATTGCAAATTACCTTAGTTTTCTTATTGTCCATGCTCCCTTTTTAAGGGTTACATAATTGGGCAAACTTGCTGCTATTGGAATTTGATTTTGTTAATACGGAACTATGTTTCTTACATTAAAGCAATTTGAATTATTTAATGTTTTGATCCAGACATTTGATATAGCACAGAATGTTTTCATTAAATGCTTTCAAGCTTCTGTTGTTGCTTATTGTGTGTTTTAAATAACAAAATATTTCTGCTGTTCTCCTGTTGTGGTACCATAATACTATACAGTAAGTATATTGCTATATAACTTTATTGTAAAATTTTACTGCCTTATTACTGTAATTGGTATACTTAAACTTGTCTATCAAGGTGGACTATAATGTATAATTTGCCTTCTCCAAGCAAAAGTCAGCCGTTCCTGTCCAGGGTAATGAAAACATGCCTGTCCCTTATTTAAAGGCAAGGGATGTCATCCTCCTCTTCGTCCTCTCTCATGAGAGCCTGGAGAAGAAAAAAAAGTTTATTTTTTTATTTCTAGTTTAAACTCTTATTTTGATTTTAACAGCACTGCTGTGCTTGCTGTGGAATAGAGGAACCATTTTTTGTTTTGTAAAAACTCAAGAGATAATTAAGAGGCAGCCACTCAGCCCTTCCTGATTATTTGGTTACTTATTATATTATTAAATGAAGCAGTCAAATGATCTGGGAGCCACAACTAAAAAATTGTTTCTAGGTTATAAAGCAGAGAAATAAATGGTAGACCCCACATTTGATGTTTCTTATTGAGTATGAAAATGTACTTTCATATATTAGGATATACAGCAATTCATGCTAAAATAACCATATTTTAATACATTACTGTGAAATACAGAAATCAGGTCCTTTTTAAAAAAATCACTCATATGTTTAATATTTGAAAAGGAAACTTACATTGATCTAATGACTGAAGGTTGTTCACTTATCAAGTCGACATTCATCTTTGAAATGATAATTTCATGTTACAAAGTCCCATATGGTTTTAATATTTCAGAAGTATTACCCTCTAACCCTGTACTGAAAATAACTGGGGGTCAATGTTGCCAAAAAGGATACTTATGCCAATATTTTAGCATCGTGAACTGTTTTAAAATAGAAAATCCACTGACCTCTCAAAATGAGCAACGTTCCGATGCTACATGTATACAGAGAGTCATCCTGAATCTAAAAGAAGTAAATTAGGACTCAAGGGAAGAGAATGTATTTTTGGTTTTTAAAATATATATTTAAGTCTTAATTAGCTTAAGTAGTAGACCCTATGATGCCTGTAACATATACTTATTTTGATTTTTGAATTTGTTCTTAAGACCCATTTTCTTCATACATGCATTCTTCCATTTCTAATCACTATATCCAGTACAGGGATACAGGTGTACCGCATCTTATCCAAGCAAGCAGTGGGTGCAAGGTGGGATACACCCTGGATGAGACACCAGGGCACAGAGAAACACAGACACGCACACACTCACACCAGGGCCAATATTATTGCCAGCAGCCATATCGTGCTGCAGCTCATGAGTGGCAACCCACTGAAGCTCAGCAGGTGTGAGACTGGCCATTACCTGGATGGGAGACCTCCTTGGAAAAACTAAGGTTGCTGCTGGAAGGTTGCTGGAGTGCCCAGCAGGGATGCTCCTCCTGCAGTCTGTAAGGGTCCTCATGCCCCAGTATAGTGACGGGGACAATATACTGTAAAAAGGCACCATCTTTCAGATGAGATGTGAAGCTTAGGTCCTGACACTCTGTGGTCATTAAAAATCCCAGGGCTTTTCTCGAAAAGATTAGAGTGTTACACTGGCATCTTGGCTTAAATGTCCCATTGTCCTTTACCAATCATGGACACCTAATAATCTCCATCTATAAATTGGCTTCATAACTCTTTTCTCCTCCCCACTCATTGCGGATGTGTGGTAAGCATACTGGCTCACTATGGCTGCCGTTGCATCATCCAGGTGGGACTACACATTGGTGGTGGTGGAGGGGAGTCCCCATTACCTGTAAAATGTAGAGTGGAGTGGGAAAACGTTATATAAGTGTAAGGAATTATTATTATTATTTTTCCCAGATGCCAATTAACATACTACCATGTCTTTGGACTATAGGAGGACATACAAAGTTCATGCAGATCTCACCCCAGGTCTAGTATTGAGCCCAGCGCTGCAAGGCAGCATTACAAACCATTGTGCCAATCCCATTTTCTTTGTTTGTAATTTATTTGATAAAGCAAATCTTGCTAATGTATTATATAGTCAGCCCTTAGTGAAAGACAGGTGAAATTTAGTTAATAAAAAGACATCACACTAATGAGGATGGAACAGTAGTAATTAAACCTGTTCCTATCTACTGAAAATAATTGGTTTTAATTGGTAAGAACTTACTTAGCTTTTTTGTGATATCATGACTGTATACAGTCATTTAAAGACAGTGGCAGCATGTTAGCTTATAGTGTCACTGAAATGCATAAATACCTGGCTTAAAAACATTAAAAGGTTGATTAATATATGTGAGCAGTTCAGCTTTTATAATACCATAGCTACTGTTAGTATCCCTAATTCACAAAATAAAATATATAAATTGTCATGACAAATATCACTGTATTTCAGGTGCTCATGAGCAGAATAAAAGCAGAACTGTGTCATGTAATGTCATGTTTCAAATATTCTGTTAAAACATTATAGAGATCATTTTTGTCTTTTTGGAATTTCCAAGGAAATGGAGCTGTCTTTTACCTTTTCAGAAGGCCTTTTAAATTGTTTTATATTTATATATTTTTAATGTACGCATTGTTAATGCTGAAAAATGTGCTTATACCAGAAAAGCTGTATTAGGGATTTTGTAGTCTTTTCTCAGTATTGTAATGATTTTTAATATGTTTTTATTAACTTTTACAAATATAAGAAAACAGAAACTGTGTGAAGCTTTTGTTTATGGGTCACAGTGAGTTTTACACAGAAGATAAATATGACAGTGGAGGTCAAGTTCTCGAAAAATAAGCTGTTGATTCACTCTAATGCCTTACTGAACGTCGAAAGGCGACAGCAGTGATCTCCGTTCCCCACTCTGTATCTTCTTCCTTTGTTCTCAGCTGTTGTCAGACAGAGCCTCTACAAGCTCTGGGAGGCTGGCTCTTCCATTTCTCACACTTCATTTGCACCCTACTTGTTACCATCTGATTACCTCAGAGCTGCACAGGGTTTCTCAGGATTTTCATTGCCGGGCACTGAGAGAATTCTGATTTCCCTTGTGTTGCTCTTGTTCACTTTGCTTTCATAGCAAGTTCCCTTTTATTTATCTTTTATGCACTCTCACCAAAGAAACACTGAACATGGCTCCTTTTTTTTTCTCACAGATACAGTTAGCCTTCCATTAGGGCTTTATGGTTGAGTGCTGTGGTTTTTGTTTTAATATATATGGTGTGCACCTAAGACATGCTGCCCTGGGGATCTGCTGTGGCTTTAAAGTACAGAAAAATGAGTCCGTCTCTGGAGGGTCTCCTGTAGAGTGCAGTTCTGTACAGCAGTAATTACTGTAGGCATAATGATGGAAAAATCAAATGCTGCTCAATGTGATGGTAGGCAGAATACAGGTTAGCACAAGATGAGTGAATAAATGTCTTGGTAGTTAAACTGTGAAGTATTTTGCAGCCGAACATAAGGGGACTTTGTGTTTTGACCTTGGCAGCTCCTGGGATTTTAGATGTACTTGAAATTGCAGCAGGGCACACCTGTCGAGATTTAGTGTTGCGGCTGCAGAGATTAATATTTGACATAAGGCAGTATGAAATGCAAGCTGAAATTCTCGTTGCATAATTCAGATTGCTTTTAAGATCTTCTTTGATGTGTTAGCATAGGTCAGTAATAAGTATCAGCATTTCTGCTTTTGTCATTTTTAAAGATTGTGTTCTGAAATTTGTATCGTGGAAAAATACAGAGAATAATCCTTAGCTGACTTCTTCCAGACAAATTGTCTTATCAGTCTAAGTGGAGTGGTTTCACAAATAACCTCTACGAAGAAAATATGTATAACCTGAAGAGTAGATAAACTGAGTTTTTAGAGGCTATAACATACATAGTGTGCTGAGCTCTGAAATTGTTTTTACATTTTATTGGGATTGCTTTGTTTATAACAGGTTATGTTACATTTATGGTTTTAGGTGGGTAGCTGCGTC